CCTTCCCTCTTCCTAGGCCGAAGTTGTGGAGGACATTTGGTTCTGTTTGGCCTGGTGCTGCATAAGTTCATTATGTCTCTGTTGTCACATAATGTTCCATGTATCCCTGTCATCTCAGGATCATCTCTTATGCAGAAGCCAATCATTTTTATAAACTACCTTACTCTCATATCACCTCATCTTAAAGACACTTGGGGTGACACTGTGTTTCACAGAGATCACGTTATGTGGTACTGGGGAGTGGCATCTCACTGTATCTTCTATAGGTAAAGATTTTACCACATATTAAATATAAAGAACTTATTCCAAATTTTCACAGATTTTACTATTTTAAAAGTGATATACAATGCTTTCCTATTAAAATGAAACAACCAAATACACTTTATTAACATCTAAAGGATGATTGCTTTTCTTTTCTCTTCTGTGTGAAAAGAACATTACCAAAGATTCTTTGGTAGAGAGGAAATAAAGTGACCTCAGTCTTCAGATCTTAAACCACAATCGCTGTAATTTTAAGAAACTTTAAAAATTGAATTATATAATTGTACATGGCAAACAAAACAGCTCATGCATGCCCTTCACCTTCATACTGAAACATGAGGAAGAATTACCTCAGACAGCTTCCTATACCTTTCTTTATGGAAAGCAGCGTGTCTCTGCCAGAGTAGTCATTGTCTAGTCACATGATTCTCTTTGTATTCAGGGTTAGCCAGACCTGTGCTTAGGTTTTGATTCCCCACCTGGATCTTCCTACATGATAGCACTGAGCTTCATCCTGACTCTGGATCCCCAAAGAGTTAAGCCAACTTTGCCATGGGAGGAACTTGCAGACCTGACAGGTGACTAGCAGTTCCTATGGCTAATATAAAAAATCATTGCTGTGGACATTTGAGCACATTCTCCTGGGACCAGTAAGGAATGTGACCATCAGTGATTGCTAAAACAAGCAGCCACAGATGATAATGCTAAAGGTTCTGAAAGATAGGGATTTTGAAGGATCCAAGGTCACCAGAGCCTGAAGACTGGACTACAGCATAAAAATCAACACACATCAGGGATGAGGAAGCACATAAAAGTTACTCATAAGACAGGTGTGTGAAATGTACATGACCTGGGCAGAGAGTGAGGAGAGACTGAGTAAGAAGCAGACCTGTGTGGGCCACAGAGTGAACTTTCCAAGAGTTTATGAGCACCTGAAAATGCTGCTGACCATAAGGTGCTCCTTTTTGTCTCCTTCAATTCTTATGACTTGCTGTTTTTTGATGTCATGTTCAATTGTTAATCTTTTACCAACACTGTCACCACTATCACTTGCAGGATCTTGAGTTCAGAGACCTTCTCTGCTATCAGGGTGGCTGGGTGTTGTGAGCTCTATGTTTTCCCATGAGAGGAAGCAGTTGCTCTAATATCTATCTCAGGCCACTGAGCACAAACAGTGCCATTAGCCCTGAGCCCTGTGTGTCTGTATGAGGCTCTGGCAACCCTTAAGAAGGCTCGCAGTGCCCCCTAGGGGACTTCTATTACTATTTGTAGTTTATCCTCTAGTACTGTGTTCTGTAATATATGATTTTTAGTTTCATTGTTTTACGTTTGTTTCATAATGATATAATTCAATGATAACAATAGTTAATACACAGACATATGTTTAAGAGAGTGGCTCAACTTTTACTTACAATACAAGTCATAGATGAAATAGACTCTTTCTTATAATGAAGGGGCAAATAAGACAACAAAAACTTCCTTTTGAGTGAACTAAAAGAAATTAGTATTATAAATGAAACCAATTTGCATATATCTTAAAGAGAAAATTAGAAGACAGACGATCAGGAAGTTGGGAGAAGTTCAAATAATTTCCCACAGTATCTGTTTCAGTGTTTCAAGAATATTTTAAGATACATGGCTTCTAACTTGCGTTCCCACAGTTTGACTTTAAAATGTTATTTTTTGAATTTTAAGTTCCATTACATTTTCTCTGATAATGTCAATTTAATCCTTTCCCATTTGTTTCAAAAATATGAAATAGTTCATTATTGGGATTTTATATGTTGTTCATTCTGTTATTTGATTTTTAATGTCCTGTAATACTTTCATTCGCTTGAATGGTTCTATACTATGTTGTTATGTTTCATACTATTCTCTGTGAAGGTATGCTCAACTATTGCAGAGGAAAGAGGCATTATGGTAGATACTATTAATGTCCAGTTTTCTTGTTGTGAAGTGCTGTGTTGCTTATATTGTTCTGTTCTGATTTGCTTCGTTCTGTCCTCTTTTGTTTCATTCTCTTTAAAATAAACCTTTTTAAAAATCTCTACCACATAACTTCAGCACCTGATGATTTTACTAGTGGTTGACAAGGTGATATTTAAATCTGTTTCCTAGAAATTCATGAAGTACAGAATTAAACAAGGGTGTGTTGGTGATCTGAAATGGTACCTGTTTTAGGTTTCTTGGTTTTCTCTACCGATTTTCCTCAGAACTTTTTGAAGATAAACAGAACATACTTCTTTTTGAAAGCATTTATTTTCAGATTTTAGAATCAAATTTTGTTAGACATGGGTCACTTGTAGCATGCTTTCATCTTCCGAAACTCTGTATCTTACTCTTTCCCTGTGAATTTGTAGCACAATGAAGATTATGATTTCAGGAAACAAATGCATATCTGATCTGAAGAGACTGACAGGACTGGGGGGGGGAGTGTTTGCTCTTTTCCCATTTGGGATACAGATATCATGTAAATCTCCACTGGCATTAAACTGGCTTCTGAACAAGTCATTTGGTTGAGTAGTAGAGGGCTAAGCCTGGACCAGCACTACATCTCTATTTCCTTTTGTACTATACTATTGTCTCCTATGCACCTGAACACTTGAATACTCAGACTCATTCTGTGACTGCTTCCCAAGGCTAATGTTGGCCCATTTCATGGCTGAAGGAAGAATTATTTATACTTAGAAGATGCATGGAAAATACTGTGCTCTTATCCATTCAATAAGAAGGATCTCTGTGGTAGCTGCAAAATCAATCACTAAAACTAAGTGATGATTTATATAGATTTTAGAGTGAACACCTCTGATCTCATGACTTTAGAAAAAGGAAAGACAAAAGGCTGTCTAGGAGACAATACATGCGAGAAATGGGGGCGTCTTCAGACAGACAGGATGAAGCCAATGGCAATTCATAGCTGATGGGCAAATGGTGCCTGCGGAGTGCTGCCCTCTGTGAAATTCAGCAGGTCACTCACTATTGTCCTAGATTATAGAAGATGGAATTTCCTATCAATTTTGTGAGCTACAACTCAATATATCTGCAGCTTTTGGGGGAGGTGGTGGAGACAGCTATCTTGGAAACTGAACTTTTCAAGAGACTTGAGTCACTTAAAGGAAATGTTGGAGTAAATATCTGCTTTTCATATTTCAAATTGATATCAGACATTGTTTGAAACCTCTTGTGGGTCACAAAATGGGGTTCTCAGTTCACACCTCAACCTATGATCTCATGTAGATTCCTTAAGGTGAGTTCCCTCTTTCTGAGGGAAAGCAACTCTATGGAAACCAGATCCATGTAACCCACTTAGTCACCAGACAGGGTTTCAGAGGCTTCTAAAAGTGAGGATGAAGGACCTAAACCCTTGTTAGTTGAAGAATAAATTGCAGGCTCAGAAACTCCTATCATGGTAAAAGAATATTTCATTGTGTCACTAAGGGACACTACGAAGTTTACTGGGCAGAAATGAAGAAGCACAGACACAAAGAAATTAATTACTTTGGAGAAAGAGAGATGCATGCAATGGTTTGAAACTGAAAACATAGCATATCTTTGGCTGTTTTAAATTGTGAAATTATATGAAGTTACATCTTTGTCTTGTTCCAAGTGAAACAGGATGACTCTCTCATAAGATAATGGCCATTTGAGGCAGCAGTTTAGGTGAGAGGCAAAAGCTCCAGCCTAAGGAAATGCAAGGTTGTGAGTTCAACCCATGGTACCAAAATAAATAAATAAATAAAATTTAAAAAATAATATCCCGTGCTTATAATTAAAGGCTTGAGCCCTAACAATGCCTTTGACAGATAATTTGAAATGTTTTGCCTACAAAGTTTTTGCACTCTCATAGTATGTTCTTTTAATATCAGAATTTTCACCTTAGTCAACAAAACAATTTACAGACTTAAAGTATTTTTAGACATTTTTGGTGTAATACACCAAAGAAATATATAAAAGCACCACAGGATTATTCATATGGATAATCAAAGAGTTACAGTCTTTCTAAAAATACAAATATTTAGTGATGATTGTTGTTATCTCCCTCTACTCATTTGTGTTTTTTCTACCTTACCTCCATAACAGTCAACTCTCAGCAGAGGCCTGATGCATTCTAAGCCATGGTGGATTCGTCTCTTCTCTCTTCCTTGTCCCACAACGTGGTTTGCTGTCCCCAGTTCCCTCCCACCTACCTCAAGCCGGTCTACTTCATTTTTCAACTGGCTTCAGGTGATTAAAAATCCATCAGTGTAACTCTGGGCCTGAGATTCTTCCTAAGCCTGTGTTCTCCATCACCAATTCATATTTCGGTGCTGGACACAGTGAAATACAGGCTGCAAGGGACACTGTTGACTCCAAGGGAAGGGCAGCTCTTCATTGGGAAATCTGTAAGTGTAGAATCCATGCTCTGTAGGGCACTTTTCTCCTGGAACGGTCCATGAACTCTGATTATTAGAGCATGTAAAAGATGATCTCATAATTTTTTTAAATAAACATGCCAGAACCATGTTGTTTCATGACATTTTAAAATCACTGGACTACAAAGCAAAATTCGGAGGACATCACACCTTTTTCCTGAGATTTTAGCAATATTGTCTGGTAATTTGGGATGATGAATGTTGTTACTTTGTAGTTAAACCCAATTTTAACTACTTACTTAGTGTAGACACAAGTTATGTTTCCCTTTCAAAAGGCTTCATATTCTACATTCCAGAGCAGGCTGGGGTTTTTGTGCCACTTGTCCATCAGTGGGTGTCACTGTGATAAGCACTGCTGTACCAGATGCTACAGTGATAGTCAGCTTCATCCTCAGGCTGCAGCCCAGAAATATGCAAAATGCCTACATTGGCTGAGATGTCTTTTGAACCAAACAAGTGACTGGGGATGTCAGACCCCCCTTTCTCATTGGAGTCTGAGTAGTAGTGTAGGAGAAACCTGGGAGGACTCTGTGGCTTCTGCTCATACCAGTACGTGTGCGCACCACTGACACTGATGTCACTTCTCAAGGTGCAATAAAGTCTGGCAGCTGCTCCAGGACATGCAGAGAGTGAGAATACCTGGGTCACCACAGTCTGAGAGAGGAAAACTGCAAATACAGACTATGGTGAATTACAGAACACTGACTAAGGTAATGTTTTACAAGACTCATAGCAGAAGACACCCAGTCAGGTTGTGACATTGCAGAATGTCTGCAAGGTCTGTTCTTACCTGAGCGGTGAGAGAGGAACAGGAGGAGAAGAGGAGTCCAGCTCATGGTGCAAACAGTCCCTGATCCCACAGTGCCTTGAGTTGGCCTAGCCATGCTTTTCTCTGCCAGGCCCCATGAGAGGAGCAGTTTATGCAAATATGTTTCCATCTTGTTTGCCCAGCTCCTCCTGAGGCTGATACTAGAGCTCAGCTCACACTGCAAAATGAGGAGGAAAATTTGATTTCCTCTTTGTGCAGGTCCTGAGAGGCAGCCTCTCATGAAAGCAGGCAGCCCTTGCTCAAAGAGCTCTCCAAGGTCACAGGTGACAGAGCACCTGAGACTGTCAGTGAGCCCTGGACCCAGTGCTCTTCCCAGGGTCACTTGTGTTAATAATTCTTTCATGTAGTTGTGCAGGACCGGCAGGTAGTCCCGCCACAGTGGTTCTTGCTGGTCTCAGGAAACTCATCTGCCCCGGCACTGAGGGCATAGAGCACATAATATCTCTCTCATGGATGATACAACCTTGAGCTTCTGTGACTGGAAATACTTTCATTGCGGTAGATTCTCACTGCCAGGAGTCTTGTTTTATATGTTTAGTATACCTGATGCTATGATTCCATAAAAATAACATCCTTTCCTGGATAAGTGATTCTCTTCTGAAAACACAAAGCAGGTTATTATCTGTGGGCCCTGTAAGTTCTTTTCAGTCTCTTGCAACCCCTGAGAAGTCTCTTAGTGCCCCATAGTCTGCTTTCATATGATTTTATTCTTCAGTTATAGTATCTTCTGTAATATATGATTTTAATTTTGTTGTTTTATAGGAAAGTAATTGGATAACAATACACTGTTATGATCTTAACAGAATAGTTCTAATGTGACTCCTAGTACAAGTCACAGACAAAGAAGTTTCTCTCTGACAAAGGAGGTACAAGCAAAAGAGCAAACCTTCCTTGTCAATGAACAAAGAGAACTGAGTACTATAAAAGAAACCAGTTGACATAGATTTTTAAAAGCAGAATAGAAGACAAATGATCAGGAAGTAGAACCTCAAATAATTCCCCAAATTATCTATTCCATTATTTGAAAAGTAAAATTAATAATTGTATATATATATATATATATATATATATATATATATATATATAACTGTATCTATAGTATCTATGTATCTATCTATCTATCTACCTACCTATCTATCTATTTGAGACAGGGTTTCTCTACACTGTTCAGTTTGACCTTGAGCTCAATTTGTAACCCAAGGTGGTATTGATCCTACAAAGATTCTCTTGACTCTGCTCCCCAGTGCTGGAATTAAAGGTATGTGCCACCAAGTCCAGCTTATGAAGTACTTCAAAGTATGTGATTTCTGTTCATGAGTTCTGAAAAGGCTTTATTTTAATTTCTTAAAAATTACTTTCCATTTCCTTTGATGATGTCTATTTACTCTCATTTTCCTTTTGTTGAATAACATGTGAAATCAATCACCATAGGGATTTTATGTTTGTTTAGAAAGTTACACTACAGAACTACTTCAGCACCGGGGTCATTTTAGTGGGGAAGACTAAGGATGGTCTTTCCTCATTAGCTTGTAATATTCCTAGTAATGGACAGGGTGATTTTTAAACTTATTTCCTAGGCATTTAAAAAGTGCCTCAACACAGGTGCATTAACAGTCTGAAGTGGTACCTGCTGTTAGTTTCTTCATTTCCTCTACTAATTTTCCAATAGACTTTTCCAGAAGAAATCGAAACACTTCCTTTTGAAAGCATTCAGGATCAGGTAAATTGTGTTAGACTTGAACCACTTGGTATGTGGCTTCCATCTGATGAAAGTCACCTGAATCCCTTGTCTCTATTACCCTCTATCTCAGTTTTTCCCTTTGAATTTTTGGCACAATGTTGACAATGGCTTCAGAAGGGAAATGCATGTTGGAAATGAAGTGATTATTAGGAATGAGGGAAATAGTGTTTCCTGTTATCCCACCTGGGCCATAGAGATCATCTACATCCACACTAGCTATGGAAGAGTTTCCAAATAAGTCATTTGCTTCAGAAGTGGAGGGCTGAGGCTGGGACCAAGACTACCCCTCTGCTTCTTTTAGTACTATGCTGATGGCTCATGTGCTCTTAACACTTGGATCCTCAGGCTCATTCTCTGGCACCTTGCCTAGGGCTTGTTGGCCTACCTCAAGGCTAAAGGAAGCATTGGTTCTCGAGAGATGTTGAATGGATATGACTAGTCTCTTAGTCTTTTAAAAAGAAAGATCTGCATGGTCACTGCAGAATCAATCACTAACCTCACTGGTGATTTACATAGATTTTAGAGCTGAGACTTTTGACCCTATGACTTAGACAGAGAAGGAGTGAGGAAGGACTCTCTAAGAGAAGTCACAATGGGGAAATGAAGGCATCTTTAGAGCTAGAGATTGAAGCCAATAGCCATGTGTATCTTCATAGGATAATGGGGCATGGAGATTGCCTTCCTCTTTATGATGTTCAGCAGGCTGCTCACTGTGTTTTACATCGTACAAGATGGGACTTTCTTGGTAGCTTTGTGAAATACAAAGTGATATATCCACAGATTGTGGTTCTGGTGTTTGTTTCTGTTTTGTTTTTGTCAGAAAGTGAGTTCACAAGAACTTTATGTTTTTGGTTACTTAGCAACTTTGGAGGAAATTTCTGCTAATAAAATTCCAAATTGACATCCAACATTGTTCAAAACTTCCAATGGTTCAAAAGAATATACTAGCCAGGTTACCTGCTATGAGTTCTTAGAAATCCATCAAAGTGAGTTCCTATCATCCCAAGGGGCATCAACTGAGGGAAAACATACCCATGTAACCCATTTTGTCAGCAGACAGGCTCCCAGGCTTCCAAAAGTGGTAAAGAATCGAAAGCTAGTTTAGTTGTAGAATAAGTTCAGTGACACTTGTCATGGCAAAAGAATATTTTCTATGGGATACTGAGGGACACTAAAGAATTTATTAGGTAGAAATGTAAAAGTACTTGCAAAAAGAAATCAAGTGCACACTCTTCAAAGAGAGTGGCCTGCAACCATTTGGAGCAGGTAATACATATGTGTTGTTGACTGTGTAAATCTGTGTAGCCTGTGAATGTGTATAAAGTTTCTTTTTGGTACTGATTCATGAGAAACAGGTTGACACATTCATAAGATAATGGCCAATTTTATAAATGAAAGACTTGAACCTTAACAATGTTTTTGATAGTTCGTATAGCATATTTTGCCTAAAATGTTTTTGAGCTCTCCTAACCTGTTCCTTCAAAATTAGGTTTCTGCCCTTTATCAACGAATAAATTTATAGGCCTACATTACCTTTAAGAAATTTTGGCTGTGATAAACCTAGAAGGAAAGGATAAATGATCATAAGGAGTGCTGATACTGATAATCTTGGGTAACTTTGACTGGTTCTTGGAGTTAAATCTTTCTAAAAGTACAAATATTTTAGTTATGATTTTCACTGTCTCCCTTCTAGCCATCTGTATTTCTTCTACCCTAACTCAACATACTCAGCTGCCAATAGTGGCTTGATGCCTTCTGAGTCATGGTGTATTCGCTCCTTGTCCCTTTCTTGTTCCACGGTGTGGTTTGCTGCCCCCAAGTCTCTCCCATATTCCCCAAGCCTATTATCTTATAGTGCATTTTGCAGCTGGGGCTCCAGGTGATTACATGGAATCCAGGTGAGCTCTACACCTGAGATTCCTCCTGAACCTGTGTTCTCCCTCACCGATTCATGTTATGGTACTACACACAGTGAGACATGGGCAGCATGAGAGGTGCTGACTGTGAGGAAAGGGGAGCTCTTTGGTGTGATATCTGCAAGTGCAGAGTGCAAGACCTCGAGACTACCATCCTTCTGGGATGGCCCCTGCACTCCGACCAGGAGAGCAAGAAAAGCCCAATCTCATTTTATTTGCAAAATGATAATAATAGCACCTTTCATGTAATTTTAAATTCATTGCACTAGAAACGAAAATTTACAGCCCATCACAGATTGTTTCTCCTGAGATACTAACAATATTTTTTTGTAATTTGGGATGATGAATGCTGTTACATTTTAGCTAATTCCAAGTATAATCAATGTAAATATATTTTATATTTCAAAAATGGGGTCATTGTCTAATTTCCAGGGCAGCCTGGAGCTTTTGTGCCACTTCTCCATCTATGGGTGTCACCGTGATAAGCACTTTTATGCCTGATGCTATAGTAATGGTCTGCTTTATCCTCAGGCTGCCGCCCAGAAATATGCAAAATGCCTGCATTGGCTGAGGTGACTTTTGAATCAGAGAAGCAGAATCTGGTTCCTTATTGGAGTCTGAGTAGTAGTACAGGAGAAACTGAGGAGGATGCTGTGGGTTCTGCTGGTTTCAGTACACTATGTAACTACCCACACTGATATCATTCTCAAGGTGCGTGCAAGTCTGTCAGATTCTCCAAAAGATGCGGAGAGAGGATAGTTGAATCGCTACAGGCTGGGGGAAGGAACCTGCACACAGACACATGTGGGTCTCTGGGAACAAATCAGAATTACATTTTCCAGGAGTTTTACAAAAAAATCACACAAAGGTTGAGCACTGACATCTGGTCTCTGAGGCCTGTCCCTTACCTGAGCAGTGAGAAATGGGAAGAAGGAATCACATAGTCCAAGAGATCTTTGATCCCCACCATAGGACTGGGTTGGCCCAAACTATTTTTTTGTTCCACGATTCTGGGAGGGGCTGTTGACGCAAGTGTGTTTTTATCATGATTGCACCAGTCTCTCTCTAAACTGTGGTGCTGGAGATTACATCCTATTGTGCAGCGGACTTTGAAGACTTGTTTCCCCTCTTGGGAGGAGGCACCTGCTAGTACAAGACAAAGCTCTTGCCCAAGATGCTCTGCCAAGGCAGAGAAGACATAGCTGCTGCATCCCAAGCAGTGAGGCAACGCCCAGCACAATGTTTGTTTGTTTGTTTGAGTAAACTGTTATTTTTTTTATTTAAAGAGGAAAAAAAAGAAAGGAAATAAAATTTTAAAAAACAAAGCAGTAAAAGGATATGAATAATACAGAATTTCAAGGAAAAAAATACAGTAAGATATTACTAGTTAATGGGTAACATATTGTCATCTTTGAAATAGTTGTCCA